CCTCTATTGTGCCCACATCCCCCCACATCTTAGTGTCATCAGCAAACTTGAACAGGGTGCTTTGCACCCCCTCATCCAAATCACTGATGAAGATGTTGAACAGGGCGGGCCCGAGGACCGAGCCCTGTGGGACCCCACTTCCCACGTCCTTCTAGGTCGAGAAGGACCCATCCACTACCACCCTCCGGGTGTGACTCTCTAACCAGCTGGTGACCCATTGGACTGTATGGGTGTCTATGCCACCCATTTAATTTAATTTGGGCTAACATAACACAGGATCCTAGCTACTTTGCTGATATACCCAATCAGCTCTATACTATTTAAAGGCATTTTTAAAAGCTTTTTACGTACCTTCTGTTTGGAATTATTGGATATGTAAAACAGGTTTTATTCTGTCTATTCACTGATACCCAATTCCCACACAACATGATCATTGTTAAGCCTTTCCTCCACCAATAGCTATATTCCTTTGGCTTTAGACTAATCACTGTGATTGTGTCTACGTTAGAGAACCGAACTGGTGGAAAAGGACTAATTTAACTACCCATAACTAGGGACCTACTTAATTTGTGGTTTCACAGAGACTGCAAAATCCAGGACTGTCTGTAAAATCAGCAAAAAAACCCAACCAAACAAAAAAAAAAAAAAAACCCACCAAACTTAATAAACATAAAATGCTGTGATCCTTGCTGGTGGAGCAGCACCAAAGGCAGCAGACAATGGTGGCTGCCCCTTCATCCCGCCTCCCCCTGCCAGGGCCTCTGCACCAATCAGTGTCAAGGGTAGCCAGCAATCAAGATGGTGGCCACTCCCTCATTCCTCCTCTCCCCCAATCTGTGCTGAGGCAGGGCTGCTGCGAAATGCCCACAAAATCAGCAATAAGCAACGTGAGTGGGCCATGAAAAGCCCTTTGTCTTGCTGTGATTTAGGTTGGTCTCTATCCATACCACAACATGTACAAACTAGCTGAACTGATTCAACATAAACTTTCCTTTATGCTACATTGTTGCAGTGGCACAGTCCTCTGACCTAAATTTCACAGCAAAACCCCCTGAAGAAGTGAAATCTCTCAGAAAGCACAAAGTCACTGTGCTCTCACTGACAAGGCATTCTTGGCAAAAAGCAGCTGCAACCTTAAAAGGGCAATTTTCACATTTAAATTTTGTTAACATATTGCAAATGTATGAAAGCATACTATACACTATCAGGAGATTTTTTAAAGTATCACTTTTCTATCTGATAAACACAAGTCAGCTAAAAATTTGGGGGGGAGGAAGGGGAATAAAGAGATCTCACACTGTTTTTTGGATCAGGTAACAAACAAAACAAACACATTTGGAGTGAGAATTCTTTCTGCCAGTTGTTCCAGGTACGTGTAATATATAACAAGATTTAGCATTTTTCTTCACACACAGACAGAATATGCTTGTTCTAATTAAAGGCACCAGTCACTATGGCAGTGGTTCTCAACCTCATTGGACATGAGGCACCCCATTTCAAAAACTAACTGATATATTACATACTTCACTTTTGTCCATGGCACCCTTCCAGGGATTTGGCTGCACCCCCTGGCTGAAAGATCACTGCAGTAAGAGGCAACTATTTGATCACTTTCAATAAACTTTTTCATTTTCTCTTCCCCTTTATCATATAGATCCCATGAAAGACTCCAAGGAAACTCCCCTTTAATTCATCATTAATCCATTAAGTCTTTTGGTAATCAGGAAATAATTTGGAGTCACTGCTTTGGCCTTGTGCATCTTTGGTAAATATTGGGTAGCTCTGAAATGTTAAATTTGCTAAAAGTTGTTTTTAATCCTTTCCTGTAAACTACTATACTAACTGGACTCAGTGTAGCAGCAATCTTTCTTTCTCATCCCAAAGGCAAATTGCTTGTCTGTATCCTCATTATCTCATCTCAACAACTGCAGTCTCTAATTCTGTTGTCTCTGGCACTAGCTTAGCCCCAATCCAGTCCATTGAAAATGCCACTGCCAACATCATCTCTCAGGAGTTGCTTCAATGTCTCCTCCAACCCCTGGTTTCAGTCACGTAATTGGCTCAGCTCTGTATTGCAAATCATATACAAACTTCATGAACTTGCTTTCAAGGCCTCGCATCATGTGATCCCCGCTCATACCTCTGACCTGGTTCCTTTTGCTTCCAGTGAATCCAATCTCACTTCTCTTTCACAAATAATTTCTACACCTTCATATCGTTTCTTCTACACCTATAATATTACCCCTCCATAGATCTTTCAGACAAGCTGTTTCCTTCGGTAGATTTGATTTGCTACCAAACGTTCACTTCTGCCAGTAAACCTGCGATAAGGGAAAGATGCGCAACCAGAAAAGGTAAAAAATGAACAATTAAACAGTATATGTTCCTTTGAGCAATACGGTTCTCAGTGTCCTTCCTATCTCCCTCTCCTACACTCCCATTTCTGCAACTGTCACTTTTGTCACGTTAACATTTAGATTTGGTGTTCAAGACAAGGACTAAGATTGTACCTCTAAGATGCTGGACCATAAATATTTATGGGTGCTTGACATAATGACCAAAGCTAGGGGACTGGACAGGGAGGAGCCTGTCAATAGTTATGCTATAATTTATCATTTTTCTTGTTCTACTGTCTAGGAATATAGTGGAATATTCATATGTTCCAAAACTAATCTCTATTACAGCCAGTCAGAATTTAAAAGAAACCATGCCAAGGACCAACTATGGCACAGACACTGAAATAAACAGACTAAGGTGAATAGTCTATCTTCCTCATCCCCTCCACCCCCACAAAATCATTTGTATTTCCTAGAAGGCTATTCTAAGAGAAATAAATGAGAGCATGCTGTGATGATTAAGCCATCCAACATCAAACCTGTACAACTTACTGGCATTCTTGGGGGATGGAAGAGCAAATTAGACATTTAATGGTTCCTATACTTAGCAACACAGCTTTCTGGGAGCCCATTGCATAAGACAGTATCAGAAGTAAATTCTAGGTCTTATGAACTGGAGAATTCAACTAGAGAATTAAATTCCCTCCCCATTATATCCAATCTAAGAGTTAAGGTCTTCTCTCTTCTTAAAGAGAGGATTGAAAAAGCTCTATTTAAGCTAATATGTCTAAGTTAAATACAAGGCAAGCTTTGAGACTGTCTCTATAAAGTAGTTTTCACTTAACTTTTGGGGGAGCTGGGGGGCACTGTTACCAGCTCTAGTGCCAGGAGAGTCTCTCAAGACTAAGGGCAGGGGAATTGAGAAGTATAATTACAGCAAGTGAATTTTAATAGAAGA